AGGTATGGGATGGGGGCGGGGCGGAGGGGGAACTGATAGCAACAATGACTGTATAAACCCACGCGAGGGGAATGAACAGCAATTGCAGGTGAAAGGATACACTGGATATTGTAAGATATGGCAAATAATAATATATAATAATCATAGGTATGAAGGAGAGCTGATATCAAGGAATTCAAGAAAGATGATGTTTTGAAACTGATGGTGACAGCAGTTGTACATTTATGCTTGATCTAATTGAGTTGTGAATTATTAGAATATCTGTAAGAGCTCCCAATAAAATGATTAATAATAATAATTTTTTAAAAACTTTTAAACCCACACCCACAGCAGTTGAGTTGATTTCTGCTTATAGCAACCCTACCTAGAGTTTATGCGTGAGGATAACCTCAACGGCAGTGAGCCGGGTGCAGGCATGCAGAGTTTCAGGGGCTGCAGGTCAATCATTACGGGAGCGGAGTCTCAACTTGCTCCTGGGTTGAACCAACCTGGAGGGTAGCAGCCCAATGCCAAACCAGCAGGACCGCAGGGCTCCTTGATCAGCAACATCATTAAATGCTTTTTAGTCTTCTGGTGTCTTACCTTAATATCTTTGAGAGAGACGAACTTCTCGATGCCTAATTCAATCATGTCCAGCACATGGTAGTCATACATACGGCCTAGAAGAACACATTTGCTTTTTAAGTACTTCGTCCTCCCCAAGAGTTGTCTTACGTAACAAGGAGTTTCCAAAAGTGGGTGGGAGAAAACGTCCATTCTCTTCTAGTTCCATCAACTTTTTGAAGCCACCTTTTGTGTACCCACCCTTCTGCGTGTCCTAAATTTGCCTTTTTTCCTTACTTCTTATATCCCCCCAAGCATGCCCTTGTTTGTTTAGGTTTAACTTTTTATTGTGAATTAGGTGAAAGTTACATATCAGATCATCAGTCTTACCTTCAATAATTAATACACATTTATTTTATTTATTTTAATCATTTTATTGCGGGCTCTTACAAATCTTCAAACAATCCATAATTCAATTGCATCAAGCACACTTGTACATATGTTGCCATAATCATCTCCAAAACATTTTTTTAACTTGAGCCCTTGGTATCAGCTTTTTTCCCTTCTCTCCCCTACTCTCTCACCTTGTGAATCCTTCATCAATTATACATTATTATGGTTATTTTATATTTTACAGCATCCGTTGTCTCCCTTCACCCATGTTTCTATTATTCACCCCTCTGGAGGGTGTGTGTGTGTGTGTTGTATATCCAACCTTGTGATCAGTTTCCCCTTTCCTCCCCTTCCCTCATTTTATTTGAACTTATTCACTGAACTCCCCTTAAGCCCCTTTCTTAAATAGTAAACTTTACCTAGGATAGATTCCTAGGACCTAAGCCCTGGAAAGGATCTCAGATATCACTGCGTACAACTCCCTCATTGAATAAAAAACTGAAGGCCTCAGAGGGTAAGGCTTGCCAACAAGCTGCCAAACTAACCCTCAATGCACCTAGGCCAGAGTACTTTTTAAGTGTACTTATTCAATAGCTATTTAATAAAAAAGGGTTCACTTATGTGACTAGGCAAGTTAGTTTGTTTTTCTAATTCTAATACTGATTTGGATGTATGAAGATACTTCCAAAAGTTGGTGGAAGTGTGTGTGTGTGTGTGTGCGTGTGTGTGTGTGTACACACATACATATGAATGAGGTAGCTTTCAAAATCCGAGGAGAAAATTTATTAGATCTTAATTGTACTTTCCATAAACTTTTGGAAACCTTCTCATACATTCCATATCAGAAAAACATCCTACAATTCGGGGTAGAAGAGTTTTTATGTGCCCCTATTCTTCACCTGGGCAATGACAGCTAAAAGATTCTGCTCGGCGTCACAAGAAAGAAACAAAACAAAAACCAGGTCAGCACTTAATGATGCTCCTGAATCTTCTACACCATCAGTTAGTCTAAGGCAAAGCACTGACTCTCTAATTGATCAAAAATACTAGGAAGTAAATGATACTCACCTATTACTAGATTATTTGGTCGCTTCTTATTATGAGAGCCAAACATGAATAAAGAACAATCTGACTTCTTTGAGAAGAATTCCTATAAAATCAAAGAAATTTCATTAGTCAATACATAAGACCCATGTAAGAATGGTATCTTAAAAAAAAAAAAATGGTATCTTAGAACTAAATAAAAAAATCTTTAAAGGAAATGCGTGTATATATATATTTTTTTTTTTGCTTGAAAGATTAATGAAGACAGAACAAACTAGGTTAGATCATATGGAGAAATATATTTTATTCTATCTTTTCAGTTTAAATTATCCAGTTTGGGGTACTGCAAAAAAGATGTAAACTCAAGGCTAAAGTTGCATGAAAACTATTATGTGAATGAGTGAAAAGAGAGCATTTTTTAGCTAACCCATCATTTTCAAATCACTCATTTGCAGTCATTGAATCAAATATTTTATCTGCTGAGAAAATGTCTTTGCTCATAGGCTATTCCTGATATTCCTGATGTTCTATCTTACTATTCATTTAAAACATACAGGAATGTTCGGGGCACCCACGGACATCAGTAAATACTGTGGTTTTAAGTGCTCACAATTAGGTTAATCAGTTTACAATGCACATAGCTATTTCTCAGTGCAAACTTCATCCACCTTCCTTCACAGATGAGAGAAGAGGGAACATAGTTATGGGGTCACAACCCTGGACAGCTCCTTTTACACATGTTGATCATGTTTCCTTTCCACATAGGTCAATTTTCTGCTTATTCAGCTCCTCAAACTCAACAGAAACATTAGATTCAATGTGTTTCAGTTCATAGGTCAGTTGGAAAAGCTTCATAAATTAATAACAAAAGGAACCTAATGAAAAAGTAGGAAACGAGGAGGTACTGCTTCAGGAGTACTGAGTTTCTCTTCACGGCGGATGGAAACAGCAAGAGTGCATGCAGGACATGGTGCACACTGAATTATACATCCCAAATGGCTGGAATGGCTAATGCTCTGCTATGTTATTTCACCCCAATAACCTTTTTTGAGGAAAGTAAAGATAATTCAGGATTTAAAAATCACTGAGAAAAGACAGGCCTTAAGCTATTCCCTATATTTCAATGTATTCACACAGCCTCACCCCAGGGATATTTTTGATAGATGAAGGAACATAAACTTTGCTTTTTAATTATACTATGTACCTTAGTCATGTTAGGTAGCTGGTTTAATATTATTGTGATCAAAAATGGATTAATGAACTTCTAAAAATTAAAGAACAAATGGAATAGTCTTATTTTCAACTTTTCATTTGTAAGACTCAGGTGTGGGCCCCTGTAGTTCGGGGTCTCGTTCATTCCAGCAAACAAGCAGAAAGCAATCGGGCAGACAGCTGTGTGCCTGCCAATTCTACTCCCAGTGGGGAGGATACAGCCACAAAGTCAAGATTTAGTCTTGGCCACATGCATGTGATTAGTCAAATTAACCTTTATGAAATTAGTTTTACCTTCTGTATATGTCATATGTGAAAAGAAATGGTATAAAGTCTGGCACAAAACAAGTGTTCAAAAAATGTTTTAAAATGCCCTAATCAGTGGAAGCTGTCTTAATATGTATGCTGTTTTATTCTTTGTCATGGTTCAACTGTGTCCTCCAAAATATTGCCAACTTGGCTGGTGCATGATTCTCAGTGGTTAGGCAGTTATGCAATGATGTCATTTGGACAAGAGTAATGACATGATAGCTACATTATAATGTAATCATCCCCTATATCAGGGGTCCTCAAACTATGGCCCACGGGCCACATCCGGCCCGCCGAGGACATTTATCAAGCCCACTGGGTATTTTAGCCCCGTTTTGTTTTTTTACTTCAAAATAAGATATGTGCAGTGTGCATAGGAATTTGTTCATAGTTCTTTTTTTAAACTATAGTCCGGCCCTCCAACAGTCTGAGGGACAGTGAACTGACCCCCTGTTTAAATTTGAGGACCCCTGCCCTATATGCTCTGATGTGATTAGTCTCCATTTGTGATGTGTTCTAAATACTACCTTCTATATGTTAATAAGGCACAACTGAGTTATGTCAACATGGATGAAGTGCTGTTATGTTAATGAGACATGATACAAGATCTACAGGATTAGGCTGTATTCTGAGTCAATCTCTTTTGAGCAGAGAGAGAGGTACCTGACTTACCACCAAGAAGTAACAGCCAGGAGCACAGTGCCTCCTTTGAACCCAAGGTTCCTGTGCTATAAGCCTCCTAGACTCAGGAGAATTTTGATGGCCAGATTACATGGAAATCTCCAAGGGACACTGGGCCCACACATATTGAAGGGAGACAAACATTTTCCCCCCAAAGCCAATAGAAAAAAACCTTTCCCTTGCCCCTCGCTCCTCCTGGAGCCCTGGACTTCTTACCTCCTAAATTGTAATGGCATAAACTTCTAACTGTGGGAATCATCTGTGCTATTTCTGTTATAGCAATACAAATAACTAAAACACCCATGCTGGAATCCTGATCTCTAGAAGAAAGCAAAAAGGCCAAGAGTGTCACTATGTCAGGTATAAGAAAAACTGCTCTATCAACTCTATATTGAAAAAGCAAGAGTGGCCATTCCTGATAAAAGCACACAACAAAATAGGAATAAAAGGGAAATTCATCAAGATAATAAAGGCATATACGTATGCAAAACCAACAGCCAACATCGTACTCAGTAGAGAGAAGTGGAAAGTACCCCCACAAATAGGAACTAGCTGAAGGGTGCCCTTTATCACCGCTTTCATTCAGTATCACGCTGGAAGTCTTCTAAGACAGTTATGAGACAACAAAAAGAAATCAGTAAAGAAGAACTCTACTTGCGGATGATATGGAACTATATGTAGAAAACTCCAAAGAATACACAAGAAAAAACTGTGGCCCTAATGGAAAGATTCAGCGTGCCGGCGGGTTTAAAATCAACATACAAAAATCAATTGAATTCCTGCGTACTACTGAAGACAGCTCTGAAAAGCATCAAGAAAACACCACCATTTAGGGCAGCCACCTGTGATAGGCAGGTTTATTGTGCCAGCCTGGCCAATGAACACATGGGATTAACTGTAGGGCAGAGAGAGAAATGGCTCGGTGAGCCTCGCCTTTCTTGTCTCTCGCTCTTTGATGATCAGACCAGTGTGCGGCTGCCTTGCTTGTTCTCTGCCTCAATTTGCAAGCTACACTATCTGTGGGACACCTACCCCATGGACTGTGTCTCTGTAGTTTGAGGTTCCTTCAAGACCTGCTTTGCCACGCTACTGGCGTATACATCGCTTGAGCTGGGGACTGTCAGACCCTGTCATCTGGCTGACTGTTGGTGACCTGCCTTGCTGTTTGCTGCCTGTGCCCGGATAGCCTGAATTGCTCTACAGAGGACTACCTGGCAACCTTCAAGACTAGAAGGACTGCCAGTGTATTAGCTGTCTCACGGAAGTGAGTTGCACTGAGCCATTGTACTGCTTTATAGATTAATTAACTGTTTATTTCTTATGTCATCTATCTAATATATATAAAATTGTGTCCTGGTTTTGTTTCTCCAGAGAATCCTAACATACTGCCCAAAAGATGGAACAAACGTTTAGGAATATACCTAACCAGAGAAACAAGTCTGCACAAAGAAAACTATAAAACACTACTCACTCAAAAACCAGGGTGCATTATAGCACCAATGAAACACATAATATTCCTCTGGTTCCTCGAGGCTTCCTATCCCCCCACTATCATGATCCCGCTACTATCTTTCACTCGGAGCATGTACACAGGTACTGACAGGAGCTCAGGACACATGGAATCCAGGTTAAATAAACCCCTCAGGAATAGAAATAAGAGTAGTGATAGGGAGGCTAGGGGGAGGTAGGGAGAGGAGGGGGGAAGAAACTGGAGGAA